CCGAAAAGATATATACAGAAAAATGCCTGAATGGTCGCGTTCGAAAAAAAACATGAAGTGAAACATGCGAAGCATATGTGTACTAGAATTAGCCGAACGGTTTGATCGGTTGCAATAAAAAACAGAAAACCGAACGCTCGGTATAAACGAACGGAGCCCCGCCGTGAAAGGTAGCAATGTTTGCGGCTGTTGCTTTACGGCGGGGCCGGACTTGCGGTTGAACCCGGTCTGCGCGGATGCCGGCGACGGGTAGCAGAGCCAGGGAGACACCAGACCAGGAGACCACGAGGAAGACAGGTAAGAAAAATCCAAAATGGTGGTCTGAACCGGAAGTAAACGTTTCAGACTCGCCAGACCAGCAACGGTGGGAGTGAATTGGCAGCCCTTTTAAAGGGGAACCAAGCCCCTCCCACAACTACAGGCCAAGCCTTCAAATATATACATATACAGTTGCAAGAAAAAGTATGTGAACCTTTTGGAATGATATGGATTTCTGCACAAATTGGTCATAAAATGTGATCTGATCATCATCTAAGTCACAACAATAGACAATCACAGTCTGCTTAAACTAATAACACACAGATAAGGAAATGTTGCCATGTTTTTATTGAACACACCATGTAAACATTCACAATGCAGGTGGAAAAAGTATGTGAACCCTTGGATTCAATAACTGGTTGAACCTCCTTTGGCAGCAATAACTTCAACCAAACGTTTCCTGTAGTTGCAGATCAGACGTGCATAACGGTCAGGAGTAATTCTTGACCATTCCTCTTTTCAGTTCAGCAATATTCTTGGGATGTCTGGTGTGAATCGCTTTCTTGAGGTCATGCCACAGCATCTCAATCGGATTGAGGTCAGGACTCTGACTGGGCCACTTCAGAAGGCGTATTTTCTTCTGTTTAAGCTATTCTGTTGTTGATTTACTTCTATGCTTTGGGTCATTGTCCTGTTGCAACACTCATCTTCTGTTGAGCTTCAGCTGGTAGACAGATGGCCTTAAGTTCTCCTGCAAAATGTCTTGATAAACTTGGGAATTCATTTTTCCTTCAATGATAGCAATCCATCCAGGCCCTGATGCAGCAAAGCAGCCCCAAACCATGATGTCCCCACCACCATACTTCACAGTTGGGATGAGGTTTTGATGGTGTGCTGTACCTTTTTTTCGCCACACATAGTGTTGTGTGTTTCTTCCAAACAACTCAACTTTGGTTTCATCTGTCCACAGAATATTTTGCCAGTACTGCTGTGGAACATCCAGGTGCTCTTGTGCAAACTGTAAACGTGCAGCAATGTTTTGTTTGGACAGCAGTGGCTTTCTCTGTGGTATCCTCCCATGAAATCCATTCTTGTTTTGTGTTTTACATATTGTAGATTCGCTAACAGGGATGTTAGCATTTGCCAGTGACTTTTGTAAGTCTTTAGCTGACACTCTAGGATTCTTCTTCACCTCGTTGAGCAGTCTGTGCTGTGCTCTTGCAGTCATCTTTACAGGACGGCCACTCCTAGGGAGAGTAGCAGCAGTGCTGAACTTTCTTCATTTATAGACAATTTGTCTTAGCATGGACTGATGAACAGCAAGGCTTTTGGAGATACTTTTATAACCCTTTCCAGCTTTATGCAAGTCAACAATTCTTAATCGTAGGTCTTCTGAGAGCTTTTTTGTGCGAGGCATCATTCACATCAGGCAATGCTTCTTGTGAAAAGCAAACCCAGTACTGGTGTGTGTTTTTTATAGGGCAGGACAGGGCAGCTGTAACAAACACCTACAATCTCATCTCATTGATTGGACTCCAGTTGGCTGACATCTCACTCCAATTAGCTCTTGGAGATGTCATTAGCCAAGGGTTCACATACTTTTTCCACCTGCACTGTGAATGTTTACATGGTGTGTTCAATAAAAACATGGCAACATTTCATTCTTTGTGTGTTATTAGTTTAAGCAGACTGTGATTGTCTATTGTTGTGACTTAGATGATAATCAGATCACATTTTATGACCAATTTGTGCAGAAATCCATATCATTCCAAAGGGTTCACATACGTTTTCTTGCAACCTATTCCAGGTATCTACTACCCTTTCTGTATCACTGTTACTGCTTCAACTGGAAGGCTACTCCAGGTATCTACTACCGTTTCTAAATCATTGTTACTGCTTCAACTGGAAGTGTATTCCAGGCATCTACTACCCTTTCTTTTTCACTGTTACTGCTCCCACTGGAAGTTTATTCCAGGTATCACTGCCCCCACTGGAAGGCTATTCCAGGTATCTACTACCCTCTCTATATCACTGTTACTGCCCCCACTGGAAGGCTATTCCAGGTATCTACTACCCTCTCTATATCACTGTTACTGCTCCCACTGGAAAGCTGTTCCAGGTATCTACTACCCTTTCTATATCCCTGTTACTGCCTCCACTGGAAGGCTATTCCAGGTATCTACTACCCTTTCTATATCACTGTTACTGCTTACACTGAAAGGCTAATCCAGGTATCTACTACCCTTTCTATACCACTGTTACTGCCCCCACTGGAAGGCTGTTCCAGGTATCTAATACCCTTTCTATACCACTGTTAGCCATTACTGCTTCCAATGGAAGGCTATTACAGGTATCCACTACCCTTTCTATATCACTGTTACTGCTCCCACTGGAAGGCTATTCCAGGTATCTACTACCCTTTTTGTATCACTGTTACTGCTTCCACTGGAAGGCTAATCCAGGTATCTACTACCCTTTCTAAATCATTGTTACTGCTTCAACTGGAAGTGTATTCCAGGCATCTACTACCCTTTCTTTTTCACTGTTACTGCTCCCACTGGAAGGTTATTCCTAGGGAGAGTAGCAGCAGTGCTGAACTTTGTTCATTTATAGACAATTTGTCTTACCGTGGACTGATGAACAGCCAGGCTTTTGAAGATACTTTTATAACCCTTTCCAGCTTTATGCAAGTCAACAATTCTTAATCGTAGGTCTTCTGAGAGCTCTTTTGTGTGAGGCATCATTCACATCAGGCAATGCTTCTTGTGAAAAGCAAACCCAGAACTGGTGTGTGTTTTTTATAGAGCAGGGCAACTGTAACCAACACCTCCAATCTCATCTCATTGATTGGACTCCAGTTGGCTGACATCTCACTCCAATTAGCTCTTGGAGATGTCAATAGTCTAGGGGTTCACATACTTTTTCCACCTGCACTGTGAATGTTTACATGGTGTGTTCAATAAAAACATGGCAACATTTCATTCTTTGTGTGTTATTGGTTTAAGCAGACTGTGACTGTCTATTGTTGTGACTTAGATGATGATCAGATCACATTTTATGACCAATTTGTGCAGAAATCCATATCATTCCAAAGGGTTCACATACTTTTTCTTGCAACTGTATATATATAATATATAAAATAACCCTCAGTGAGTTAACAGACAAAGAAAATTAGAAACCTAGAATGTGACGGCAGATAAAAACATATATACATACACTACAACACCCCTCACACTGCACCACTACATACATTACGCTCCAGATACACGCTAGATCCCTTACCCTATATGCACTCTTAATCCACTACACACACACAATCTCCTATACACACTCTGGGTCCTTTACACACTAGATCTCACACACACACACTGCACCACCTACACACACACTACATTCCTTGTCAGCAAACACATACAACATTCTCTAAACACACCCTCTCTACAACCCCTACACACACTACGTCACCTATACACACACACTACAGCCTGTATGCACACACTCGCTACATCCCCTATAACACTATGCCCCCTATACACACACTCTCTACAGCCCCTAGCCACACATATTACACCACAAACCCAAATGAAATCGACCTATTTACACAATACCACACCACACTCTACACAAAGGCAATCCCACAAGCAGGCTCCAAACACATGCACCATACACTTTCCTGGCCCTTTTGTCCCACTTGTGGAGACACCAGAGACAATTTAAAAGCAAACACAGCGCAAGCATGTTATTCAATTTGCTTGCGCTACGCAGAACAAATTCAGGGCCTTTTTCTAATGCCAGAGTTCTTCAGCGGGGTTCTGCGCATTGAACCAACATGCTCACTTTGAGAGGGGGCGTGCTTGTCATTAGTGATGACAAAACACACCCTCTCTGGCCCCGCCCCCTTCTTGGGGGGCCGCTCTGATTGAAAAATGTCCGAGCCTAATTTTTTTCCCAGTTCGGCCCTGTCCACTACCCTTTCTATATCATTGTTAGCTGTGACTGCTCCCACTGGAAGGCTATTCCAGGTATCCACTACCCTTTCTATACCACTGTTAGCGCTCCCAGTGGAAGACTGTTCCATGTATCTACTACCCTTTCTATATCACTGTTACTGCTCCCACTGGAAGGCTATTCCAGGTATCTACTACCGTTTCTAAATCATTGTTACTGCTTCAACTGGAAGTGTATTCCAGGCATCTACTAACCTTTCTTTTTCACTGTTACTGCTCCCACTGGAAGGTTATTCCAGGTATCACTGCCCCCAATGGAAGGCTATTCCAGGTATCTACTACCCTCTCTATATCGCTGTTACTGCTCCCACTGGAAAGCTGTTCCAGGTATCTACTACCCTTTCTATATCCCTGTTACTGCCCCCACTGGAAGGCTATTCCAGGTATCTACTACCCTTTCTATATCACTGTTACTGCTTACACTGGAAGGCTAATCCAGGTATCTACTACCCTTTCTATACCACTGTTACTGCCCCCACTGGAAGGCTATTCCACGTATCTAATACCCTTTCTATATCACTGTTACTGCTTACACTGGAAGGCTACTCAAGGTATCTACTACCCTTTCTATACCACTGTTACTGCTCCCACTGGAAGGCTATTCCAGGTATCTACTACCCTTTCTATACCACTGTTAGCCATTATTGCTTCCAATGGAAGGCTATTACAGGTATCCACTACCCTTTCTATATCACTGTTACTGCTCCCACTGGAAGGCTATTCCAGGTATCTACTACCCTTTCTGTATCACTGTTACTGCTTCCACTGGAAGGCTAATCGAGGTATCTTCTACCCTTTCTATATCACTGTTACTGCTCCCACTGGAAGGCTAATCCAGGTATCTACTACCCTTTCTAAATCATTGTTACTGCTTCAACTGGAAGTGTATTCCAGGCATCTACTACCCTTTCTTTTTCACTGTTACTGCTCCCACTGGAAGGTTATTCCAGGTATCACTGCCCCCACTGGAAGGCTATTCCATGTATCTACTACACTTTCTATATCACTGTTACTGCTTCCACTGGAAGGATATTCCAGGTATCTATTACCCTTCCTATATCACTGTTACTGCTCCCACTGGAAGGCTATTCCAGGTATCTAATACCCTTTCTATATCACTGTTACTACTCCCACTGGAAGGCTATTCCAGGTATATACTACACTTTCTATATCACTGTTAGCCTTTATTGCTTCCACAGGAAGGTTATTCCAGGTATCTAATACCCTTTCTATATCACGGTCACTGCTTCCACTGGAAGGCTATTTCATGTATTTAATACCCTTTCTATATCACTGTTACTGCTCCCACTGGAAGGTTATTCCAGGTATCTACTACTCTTTCAATATCACTATTACTGCTCCCACTGGAAGGAAATTCCAGGTATCTACTACACTTTCTATATCACTGTTACTGCTCCCACTGGAAGGCTAATCCAGGTATCTACTATCCTTTCTATATCACTGTTACTGCTCCCACTGGAAGGCTATTCCAGGTATCTACTACCCTTTCTATATCACTGTTACTGCTCCCACTGGAAGGCTATTCCAGGTATCTACTACCCTTTCTATATCACTGTTACTGCTCCCACTGGAAGGCTATTCCAGGTATTTACTACCCTTTCTATATCACTGTTACTGCTCCCACTGGAAGGCTATTCCAGGTATCTACTACCCTTTCTATATCACTGTTACTGCTCCCACTGGAAGGTTATTCCAGGTATCTACTACCCTTTCTATATCACTGTTACTGCTCGCACTGGAAGGTTATTCCAGGTATCTACTACCCTTTCTATATCACTGTTACTGCTCCCACTGGAAGGCTATTCCAGGTATCTACTACCCTTTCTATATCACTGTTACTGCTCCCACTGGAAGGCTATTTCATGTATCTAATACCCTTTCTATATCACTGTTACTGCTCCCACTGGAAGGAAATTCCAGGTATCTACTACACTTTCTATATCACTGTTACTGCTCCCACTGGAAGGCTATTCCAGGTATCTACCACCCTTTCTATATCACTGCTCCCACTGGAAGGCTATTCCAGGTATCCACTACCCTTTCTATATCACTGTTACTGCTCCCACTGGAAGGCTATTCCAGGTATCTACTACCAGGTATCTACTACCCTTACTGCTCCCACTGGAAGGCTATTCCAGGTATCTACTACCCTTTCTATATCACTGTTACTGCTCCCACTGGAAGGCTATTCCAGGTATCTACTACCCTTTCTATATCACTGTTAATGCTCCCACTGGAAGGCTATTCCAGGTATCTACTGCCCTTTCTATATCACTGTTACTGCTCCCACTGGAAGGCTATTCCAGGTATCTACTACCCTTTCTATATCACTGTTACTGCTCCCACTGGAAGGCTATTCCAGGTATCTACTACCCTTTCTATATCACTGTTACTGCTCCCACTGGAAGGAAATTCCAGGTATCTACTACACTTTCTATATCACTGTTACTGCTCCCACTGGAAGGCTAATCCAGGTATCTACTACCCTTTCTATATCACTGTTACTGCTTCCACTGGAAGGCTATTCCAGGTATCTACCACCCTTTCTATATCACTGCTCCCACTGGAAGGCTATTCCAGGTATCCACTACCCTTTCTATATCACTGTTACTGCTCCCACTGGAAGGTTATTCCAGGTATCTACTACCCTTTCTATATCACTATTACTGCTTCCAAGCAGTGATTCAGTAAATTAAATGCTCTCTGTATCGGATGGTTTCTGTTTGCTGAGACATAGTTACACAATATGATACAAACTTGTCAGGTAGCTGGTACAGGCGGCAAGGTTGGGAGGGTGCGTGGATTCCCAGGTGAGGGAAGAGAAGGGGGAGGAACAAGAGACTAATTATCACATGAGAACCTGTTCGGCACCCTATCAGGCTGGGCAGCCAATCTCTGACCTTCTCGATGAATATGGCGAGTCAATGTCAGAGAATGCAAATGTCACTTTGTGTCCTGAGAGCATTCACTCAACTTTACATCCTCTCCCCAAACTCCCCCTGTCCAATCCATGGCCCCCACACTTCTACTGCATTCTCTGCTGCTCCTGGCCATCATTCCAGCTGTCACTTCCCAGGAGATCATCTTCCAGAGGGTGCTGCTGTCCCTGTTTCCCCCAGGACAGACTGCGCTGAACTCCAGCGGAGTGGAGGTACTTATACAGCATCTGGAGGACCGTGTGCAGTGTGGGAATGAGACGTGTGAAAAGGTGAGCGATGCGGCACAAACCGAGTGCAAAACACTCCTGGCACCTAATAACGAGAGCAAAGTTCATCATATGTAGTGATAAAGCAAAACGAGGATCAGAGACTGACTATTACCGTTACTAAACAACTTCTAAA